GGCCCTCACGGTGCCGCTGCTCTCTAAGGAGATCCGGTGCCTGTTTAACTGGAACCACGGGCACGGGCTAAGACTCCAGACTCCATGTGGCTCATGTCCTTGGGCCAGGTGGGGACAGCTGGTGACAGGGTTGCCCAGCATGACCGTGCAGGCTGGACAGAGGGAAGCAGGTGTAGGCTGCACTGCCATGGGTGCCCAGTGACATGGGGAACACCCGCTACCGCCACTCCTCCACGGGCTCTGGGGAGCCCCTTAGAAGACTCTTTCTCATTCCCCCCAGGCAGATGGGTACCTCACGAGTCACATGTGGGAGACAGAACAGTACTCTTACCACTCTCTGTGGTGACTCTGTCAGTGACCTGCAGCACCCTGGAAGCTTGTCTGAGTGTCTGGAGCTGGCCTCCCAGGGACAGGAGCCGGGCTGGGTTCCCCGGCAAAGGTGTCAGAGACCCAGTTTTCTCCCGATATTTTAGACAATGCCATCACGGCACCAGGGAGCTCACAGGGGGTGACATACAAGGCCCGGCTGGCAGCTGATGTCAGGGTTTGACCAGCAGCTTCCATTCACCTCTGCTCCCCCTGGAAACAGTTTACACAGCAGAGGGCCGCAGTCAGGGTTACAGCAAAGCGACTTCCCCTGCAGGAAGAGTGTCTTCCTATCCCAGAGGTTTCCACATGCGTGAAAACAACATGCTTGCTTTTAGAAAACACTTTTCTGTACATTTAAGCAAGTCCTGGGAGGACTGTCACTCAGGCCTCCGCTAGCATGGTCTTTGAGTTCCCTCTTTTTAAATAAATATTCAAGTCAACTAAATAATTCACTCTGCTCAATGCCTTGGAGGATAGAAATGGTAACCAGACAGGATCTCGTCTGTGAGGAGTTGGGATCTGGCCCAAGAAAGATGTGAGAACCCTAGGTGAGGCTAAGGCAAGCTAGGAGGGATGCATCGCAAGAGATCTGGGCAGAGGGAGTCTCCTGCCCAGAGGGCCCAGGATGCTGTCCAGAGAACATGGGTCAAGGTTCCTTTTTCAGGTCTGCTGAGTCTTCAGAAGGGCGGTCTTGTTAAATTGTGTACATCTGAGGTGTGCTGTATGGTGTTGTGAGCACCATCTAGCAGTTGAGGGCACCCTCTTCTTACACCAAAGCCCATTCGGCAAACATGTGGGACACAGTGTATCAGTAGAGCCACAGGGCACAGGTCTGCAGGACAGAAGTCTGCCTTCAATGGGCCTCCGTGCCTTCCTCCCCCGCCTCCAGCTGTGCCACCTTTCCCCTGCTCTATGCATGAGTGGGAGGCAATTGCACCTGGCACAATGCCCTGCAGGTTCACCAGGTGATGAAGGTCAGAGGCTTCCTCCTGCTCAGGGCTGAGTAGTGCTCCATCGAGTGTAGACACCATGTTCTCCATGCTGCGGTGACTCGGAGTGCAGACATCTGTTTGACACATGGATTTTGGTTCCTTGGATCCACACCCAGCACTGGGATCACCAGGTCCTGTGCTATTCTTCATTCCTTTTCCGTTACAGCTCTGCCAGTTCACATCCCCCTCCATGTGTAAGGCACTTTCTCCACATCCTCACCAGCACTGCTTACCTCTCACCTTACTGGACTGGCCACTGGACTGGAGGGAGGAGATGTCTCTCTGTGATCTCGGTTTGTGCTCCCCCGATACCAGGTCGGTGGTACTGAGCACATTTGCATACCCTGTTGGTATTTGTCTTCTTTGGAAAAATGTCTGTCAGGTCCTTTACCCAGTTTTTAGTTGGGTTATGTTTTGTGTGCTAGTTAGTTAAATACTTAAGGCTCAAAAAGGTCTTTGAATGAAGAGAACCAATACTTCTTTTTGCCCGTTTTCATTTGGACATAGAACTCAGATGGAATTAGTTTTTCAACATCTGCAGTGATTTCCTGAATGGGCAGTGTGTCCAGGAGCTGGTCATGTGTCACGGCCGCTGTGACAGCGCCACCAGCTAGTTGGCTCAGGACAGCTAAAGTGTATCCCTCCCCGTTCTGGAGTCGGAAGTCCTGACTGAGGTGTCAGCAGGGCTGTGTGCCCTCCAGAGCCTCTGGGGGAGGATCCTGCCACTCCAGAACCCCTTGGCTTTGGCAACAATGCTCTGTCCTGCTCGTCTTCATGGGGTTGTCTGTTCCTATGTGTTCCGGCCCACCCCCGTGCTGCCCCTTCCTGTAAGGACACCCCTGTGGTGGGTCTCCAAGGATGACCTCAAAGACCCTGTTTCAGATGAGGCCACATTCACAGGTGCAGGGGTTTCAGCTTCAGCATGGTTGTTGGGGAGGACACAGTCCAACAGGCAACGAAGACCACATACACCCTCTGAATCAGCAGTCAGTGAATGCCACAGTCGGGTCGAAACAGCCCAAGCCTGCGTCTCCTGTCCTGTGGATATCAGCTGAGTGAGCCCTTGACCCCAGCTTTCCCATTGCTTGGTGCTGGCTGCAGCTGTCACCTCGTGCTCCCAGTCCACGACGTCTCCGAGTACGTCAGATGGGTGGTCCACAGGGACCGGCAGCTCCCAGGCTGAGCTGTGGTTCTTGCACCAGCGAGAAGCACTGAGCTGATATTTCTACTCCACAACTCACAGTGAAGACAGTGGTGGGACACAGGGAGCAGGGCTCGGGGTGGTCACATTTGGGGAACCCTGTGCCTTCAAGATGGCTTCCAAGGAAGGTGCCAGTGTGTTGTGAGCACCAGGTGCCTCCAGTTCTCTAAAGCAGAAGCAGGAGCTCACACTGGGGCCCCAGTGCTCATGGATCATCTTCAACCCACACCAGCAGCTTTGCTCCGATCCCAGAAGAACAGTCACTGTAACTCTGCCAACAGAGGCATCATGGACACTGTGGACACCAGGGCCATGCCATACCCTGCCTGTGCCAAAGTGCTGGTCTTCCTGGGTCTCTGGCCGCCCAAAATGTGGTGCTCTGTACTACCTGACCAGACAGAAGTGCTAGGAGTTGCCATTTCTGGAATTGGATAATACAGAGCTTTAATTTCATAAACCACCTTTTCCAATGAGCTGCACAAAGAGTAAGTGGGGATTCTGGGTCGTTACTTCAAGAACAGAAAGTTTGCATTGTCAGGGTTTGTTGCACCATGGCACCTGTGTTCCACCTGGGTAACCAAGCCCAGGAAGAAACACTGAAGCTTCAGGCATTGACACTTAGCAGGCTGAAATTCTTAGTAATAATCTGTGTTCCCACAAACATTTATGACTTTTCCAACATATTCTGAAGTCTCACTGGGCAGGTGTTGCAGACAGAGGAGGACACAGGGAGGGACCCTGGTCTCCCACCTCGGCTGAGACACAGGATGTTCAGCCAGATTGGTGAGCAGCTTGTGCCAGTAGTACTCAGTTGAGCTACCATTTAGTAAATGCCCTGTGTTTACGAGCTGTGCCATTTAGAAAACCCCCTCCCTTCTTTTATACACAATGACCTAAAAAGAACACCCCCTCAGGGTACCTTTGGATTGTTTGCTTAAATTAAGTTTTATTTAGGCTTCATCTTAACCAAACCTTCAGAGGCTGGCAGGCTCCCCGGAACGAGGCACTGTGTGTGGGAGCCAATAAGATCCCGCCACACTTCGAGGACCCCTCCTCAGACAGGGGCTCCATAGTGTCACACTCAGGCGCCCTGGCAGAATGCTCGATGATTAGTTTATGGTCTAGATCATTGCATTTTTATTACACTCATAAAATCCATGTTTCTCCACATTTTCATAATGGCTTCAATGAGCTCCTCTACTTTCTGGAGGCACATTAAATCTTGATGTGGCCAGCACTGACTTGGCAGAACAGGTTTGAAGGCTTACAGCAAAAGGCAGGCTTTGGATTCTCCTCCTGGTGGACTGGCACTAAGCTGGGGAGTTGTACAGGTCTGGGCATAGTTCGTATTTATTTGTGGGCTTTTTTTGTGAATATCCCAGAAGGACATGTTGACTTCTGATATAAATGGTAGAAGTGCAGTACCCTAAGGATATTGGCTATTTTTACCCTTGCAGGAATATAAATCAATAGTAAAAGAAGAAAATATCATCCACATATTTGATTTTTAAATTGTGAATTAGTGGGAGAATTCATTAACATGAGCTGTGATAAGAAAGCATTTTATACGTGAAATATGAGAATTCTTTTTAAATCAGAGGATCTTAATCGGATTTTACATGTGTATTTAAAATGGAAGTTCTTTCTGACACCAATCTGACAGCTAAATGAGGCTGCTTATAAGTATCTCTGTGAAGTTCACGTAACCCCTGTAGGGGAAGCAGAGTCCTTTTCACTCTGTACAAGGTATTTGTGATGCCACGAGTGCCCCAGGCCCTGTGCTAAGAATGTGGAGTCTGCACCCAGAATGGCAAGTCGTGCTTACAGAGAGGGTGATTGGCAGGTTCTGCATGTGTCCTTACTGTGTACTAAATGTGTGTTCTTGTGTTGGTTGTGTTTTAGACCAGCTTTTATGTGGTAGCCATGAATTATTAAATGGATTTTGGATTTGCTTTAAATACATGGTGCTGTTTTGGCATGAGTTCCGTCACGCGCCTCGGAGCTTGGTCCTGAAGGGCAGCAATGCCACAGAGCATTGTTTCCCCTGGAGCAGTGGGCGTGGCAACTGGCTTTCGCTGTGTCCAGGGAGGAGTGAGGGTTTCCACAGGCGTGCCCACGTGCCTACTGTGTCATGTGATCTAAAGTTTCCTCTGTAGCTCAGAAGTTGGGGAGCTGGACAGTGGAGCCTGAATCAGGAGGGAGGTGCTGCGTGGCAGGGAAGGAACACTGTGATTTTTTTAATATTTCATGGTAAAATATGAGGTGAGAGTATTCAGAGATGTGAAGCAGCTGCAGAGTAAACGTGTCCAGTGACCACGAAATAAATTTCCTGTGAGTGGAATAGGTTGGGACTGACCCTCTGCATGGTAACTACCCATGTCACGCGGTAAGGAGACGGAGATGCTGATGCAGTGACCTCGGCCTGCCTTTGTCTGCAGATGGTGTGGGAGAGTGGCTGCGCCGTGATCGTCATGCTGACCCCACTCACAGAGAACGGCGTCCGGCAGTGCCACCACTACTGGCCCGATGAGGGCTCCAACCTTTACCACATCTACGAGGTACTGGAGCAGGGCCTGCCACTAGGGGGCCCTGGGGCTGCTGTCCCCGTGCAAGGAGCAGGCATCCCTGTCCCGGGTGGCCCCGGGGAGAGGGGGACAGCCTGGCCCATGTACCTCACGAGCCTGGGACAGCTCCGGGTAGGGGTCAGCACGTCACATCCGGCCAGGGGAGCCCATATGTCCACACCACGTGTGGTTGGGCCCTGGGCTGTCCCCGACAGGGCGGTCCTCAGGATCCAGCGGCCCAGGCTCCCAGGAATGTGGCCATGACGCCAGTGTCTGGCAGGCTCCACTGTGGAACTGCCCCATGGGCTCACTAGCAGTTGGTGGCCACAGCATTGGGCCTTACACTTAGAGGAACCTGCGCCCAGAGGATTTCTCTTGCTGGGTTTTCTGCCCACATCGAGCATGAACTCCCTGAACGTGGGCATTTGAGCCAGTGTCCATCCTTTTGTCCTGCTGTGCTCCGAGTTTAGAAAGTCAGGGGCCCGCAGTGGGCAGCAATGTGGGAGCCTGTCAAAACTCTGGGCCACACCCCTGTGGCTGGCGGTTGCTGAACCAGGAGGCTGGGCTGGGCCCTGGCCCCTCACCCTTCCTGGCCTTGATGAGACTGCAGTTGGCACACTGGGGTCTGCCCCAGGGGTGCTTCCTCGCCAGCTAACTTCCCTCACTGGCTAAAGCAGTTCTGCACTGTAACATCTACTTAAAACTATGACTTTCAAGCCCCTAAGTGCCATTGAAAACACACACACACACACACACGCACACATTCATGCAAACAGCCATCTCTTGGGTAACCCTTGGCCATCTCTTGGCCGTACGGAGGGCTTGGGCCAACCCTCAACACATGTGTGTCGCCTTGCACAGTGATTTCCCTTCTCACCTCAAGAGCAGCACAGCGCTCAGCAGCTCCCAGACTCACCACGCGCCCCCTGTGCTATATTCACCCCCACCCCATCCAGGTCAATCTGGTCTCAGAACACATCTGGTGTGAGGACTTCCTGGTGCGGAGCTTCTACCTGAAGAACCTTCAGACCCACGAGACACGCACAGTGACTCAGTTCCACTTCCTGAGCTGGTATGACCAGGGCGTGCCTTCCTCCACGAGGTCACTTCTGGATTTCCGCAGGTAAAACCCAGAGCCGCCCAGAGGCACATAGCTAGAGCCAGAGGCCAGGAGGAAGGGCAGGCAGAGGCCAGACTTCTTGCTTCTAAGATGCCACCTCCAGCTGCGGGTCACTTGTGTTTGAGGAGCGACAGAGTGGGAGGTGGGGATGCCAGGAATGGGAATGGGCACCAGATCTAGTGGTGTCGATGCTCAAGGCAAGGCATCTTAGAACTGGGGGAGTATGGCCGTTGTTTTCGATAAGATTCTGCAGCTGACGGAGTCCTGAAGTTTATATTTCATGGGATATTGGTGAATAGACCTGGATTTTTAGTTTGGCCACTCATCTGGTTGTACAGGAGGGGGTTTAGTCAGGGCAGGGCCAGAGCCACCATGGATAACCTCGGGGAAGGCCTCACACAAGACTGTAGGCATTCTTAGTGTGATTTCAAGGCTGACCGTTTTAAACAGACCCTTTTTTTTCATTCATTGCTCTAGTCAGCCAGTCACCAACATGTTCTCTTGTTTTAAAGTGTGTTTTCTGAACTGTTGAGAGCTGGACTCTGTCTTGTAGAAGGGTGTGAACAGCACACAAACAAAGCAGATGGAAGACGGGAGCTTTGTCCGTGTATTGCACATGGTGGCGACTGAGGTAGCCTAGCCTCCTGGGGCGGGGTGAGGTGAACCTCAAAGAAGCAGAGTTGTCCAGGAGCACAGTGACCAGGCTCCCTGTATCTAGCGAGGGGTAGAAGACCGAGGCACCCACACTGCCCCTCGCTAGGCCGCGGGTCTGGGCACTGTCCACCCAGCTCTGCGACCCATGGGTGGTAGGGACCCAAGGACTGCTGTAAAGATGAGGTTTGGACTCAGCTCTGGGTTTCTTGTTTTGTGTGTTACAGTTTCCTAAGCTTTTCATGATAATATTTCTTTTGCCTTCTAGTCTGCTTTGAAAATCAAAAAAGTTTTATCTGAATTGTTCTTTGGATCAGATAGCGTGTGACAGAGCTCAAGGACAGACAAGAATATGGTGTCACCTGTGACGCCCGCCCCCTCCCCTGGGGATGCCCAAGCACATCAGAAAAAGCAGCCACACACACCCCACCTGCTCACTCCAGGGCCCTGGCCTCTCAATGTTTTCTCAGTGCAAATTTATTTCTAAAGACATGAAAATTTTACATAATTTCCTGAAGTAGTCTTCGAAAACAGTCATTACTGGCAAAATGGATGTAGCCACAAAGACGACACTCCTCTAGCACCCGTCTTTGGGCTCATCCGTGTGTTTGTGCATATTTGCATACAGGAACGCACCTGTACCCATATATGGGCGGAGCAGAGCCATGCCCAAACTTGAGTTCAAGCATCACGAAGAAAAATAGGGATCCTGAAAATCCCGTTCTCCAGGGTCTGCCATGTGCACCAGGGTTTCTGTTAGAAAGAAAACTCTCAGGCCCAGCTGGACAGGCTCGTGGGTTCAAGCTTTTCTGGCTTCCTGCCGTGTTTGGCAGAACCCAGCAGTTCGTTCCTGAGGGGCCTTTCAGCCTCACCCAGACAGCTGGGGCGAAAGGCCACATGCCCCTCCGAGCACAGCACCCTCAGGCACCCGCATTGCAGCCACAGCAAGGTGAGGCCCTGCTGGAGTACCTGCCGCTTGCAGAAGCCAGGGTTCCTCCTCCTGCACACAGACGCTGGCCTGGGGTGTGCTCAGGGGCCCATGAGGTGTAATTCGATGTTTCTGGAGCCCAGAGGGAGCACATTTACACTTTAAAGGAAACTGCTGAAAGATTATTAGCATCCCATGTGAGCGCTCGCTTCAGACACCTCTCCCCCTCTCTCCACCTCTTTCTCTCTTTCTTTCCTCTCTCCCCCTCCCCTCCACCCCTCTCCCCGTCACCTCTTGCCGTGTGCCATGGCATCCACTAATGCTGCTGCTCACTGTAAAAATGGACAAACCCTTACTTTGCCAGCTAATTAGCGGTGGCCGGTGTCATTTTTGTGATGTTGCAGCTAGTAATATGAGCCCAGTTGCATAGTCACAAAAGTGATCATTGGAAACTGTGACTGCTGCAGGGACATGTGGGGACCCCGAACCGCTAACGACCTCGCCTTTGCTTGCTGTGGTGCATGGCGGGTCCTCCTCACTCGGGGACCGAGGGCTGGTCCTTCCGGTGACTCCTTCTGTGCCACCTGCTCTCGGTGCTGGAGCCCTCTGGCTCGCTGGCGAGCGTCTGAGAGCCCTGGGACGCTGCGAGCCGCTCACCTCCATGAATAACCTGCAGCCTCGATGAGCAGCTTGGCTCCCTGTGCGGTGGTTTCGCTTTTCTGTCTGCGATCTCGCGGTGTGACGATCGAAGTGCATGATTCTGTGTCAATAAAGTTCTCCAACGTACCCGCGGCCCATTCCCACCACACCCTGGACTGCTTGTGGTTCTTTGTAACTGGGGCTGGCGTGGGGTGGGGGCTGGCACAGATGTCACGGTGGCAGCAGAGCCCCACAGGGCCCCTGGAGGAGATGATGCCCTAAACACACCACAGGCAGAGACAAGGCCACGGGAGTGACCAGCCGTGCACCCTCCACCGCCAGCACTCTCTGCTTTCACCACCCTCTCTGACCCAGGGTGACAGTGAGTGCACTTTTCCAAAGAGGGCCTGAGCAGCCCAGATGGCCACTGCCACTGCCGCCTCTCGGACACCGTCTTCTTAAACTAGTGCAGTTTCAAGGGCATCTGGTTGTTGGGCTGGTGGCTTTCGGTGTGCCTTGCTTTAGGGTTGGTCCTGTCAGGAGAAAGTGAGCACAAGCGGCCACCGGGCAGGGGTGTGAGCACACAGACATTGCCCCTAGTCCATGCAATCTCCAGAACCAGCCGTGAAAGCCCAGGAAGTCCTCGAGGTCATCCATGTCAGCACAGCCCAGTGAGGAGAAATTTCTGTTTGAAGGAGGATGGGCCCGCCGGCTGAGCACATGCACTCCATCTTTTTTGGTGGTGCTGGGGCTGGAGCCCAGGCCTTGCACGTGCTATGCAGGAGCTCACCACTGCCCCATGCAGTCTTTATGCAGCGAGGGGCTTTGCCCTTCTTGCGCCGAGTACACGCCTGTGGTCTAGGTCAGTTTGGTACCACTGAGTCAGGAAGGGGCCGGTTTAACAGTACAGACCACTGGATCCATTTTCCCATCTCTTTCTCATGCAGTGTGCGCTGAAAGCCGGGAGTGGCTCTGGTGGAGAAGGCCGTGCAACCCTAAAGGACACGGGCTTATTTTACCTGTGTCCCCTCTTTAAAGCGGTGCCGGGTGGTCCACAAGCTCTAAGATGCTGCCCGGTGCACACATCAATTGCGAGGCTGAGCAGGGCTTTGAACACGACCTGTCTGCAGGTGGGCAGTCTCATCTTGCTCTGCAGCCTGCCCTCCACTCCGCGCCGTGGCCCAGGGCGGGCTCAGACTCCCCTCAGAAGTGCCTCATGCTGCTGACTCCACGGAGGAAGTAGGGAAAGGGAAAGAGCCCTCAGATGCAGTGACAGAAGCATCTGCTTCCCCTGAGGCGCGGGGTGCCCGCCCCTCCCTCCACCTTCTCCTCAGCCAGAGGCCTGCACCGACTGGCACCTGACAGTCACAGTGCGGAATAGCAAAACTTTCCAAAGAAACATGACAGTTCCTGTTTGTAGTTCAAGGGAAAAAACGTTTTTGCTGTACCATCATCTTTTTAAATCTGAGTCTCCAGCTGTAGGAGCTCCTACAGCACTTCTAGAAGAATGCTCCTCACCCATTCTCCCTGCCAATAAACTGAGATCGTGCCTTCGGTTTTCTTTATTAAGAAACATTTTACTGAGAATTTGATGTGCTTTGTAAATGTGTTTTGTCTTGTTGAATTTTTTGGAAAAACCACTTGAAGTTTATACAGTAAATTTAAAATCAGCCCTCTTATTTGAATAGGGGCTAGTTGGTGAAATCATAAATACATTCTCATTGTTAATATTCACAACCTCTGCTCTGAAAGCTGCACAATGGGGCCGTTGTTAAGGATACAGATTTTTAAAAATGGGAAAGACTATCTTGGACTTAGTGGGATTTCTCTGTAATTTAGATCTCCTTACCCAAGACTGACAGGTGAAACAGGGCTCCGGGAATGCTGTTTTAGACGATATAGCAATATCCTATTCCAACATGATGTGTAGGGTAGACAAAACCCTTAACCTAAATTGCCCAACTCAGAAGTTCAGCGAAGCATGGAGACGGCTGTGTCACACCGCGCTCATGGCCCTCAAAGCCCGAGAGGGGAGGAGGAGGGGCCAGGGGAAGGGCAGGGCACCAGAGCTGGCGGCATCCCGGGGACCAAGGCTAAAAGCCTGGAGCTCTGACTTGCAAAGTGGGAAAAGTGCTGTGCAGTGTGAGAGCTGCTTTGAGAGCTCTGTTTAATAATATTGAAAAGTCCCAGAAATTGTATGTGCAATTATTATTCTCTATGCAAACAAGCAGTTGCAAATTGATTTTGGGGGCACATAACTGCTGCCTTGGCTTAGGAGTTATTTTGGAGAACACATAGTCTTAGTGCATCGCTGTAATTTTTATCTCTTTTTATTTCAGAAAAGTAAACAAGTGCTACAGGGGCCGTTCTTGTCCAATAATCGTTCACTGCAGGCAAGTACAACTTTAATGTGGGTTAAGAAGTTGTGGCCATGTCTGAAGTAACCAGTACAGTTAGTATAGAAGCTGGACTTTCTTATGGTTTAGTGAATATATCTCCCTGGTATCTCTATGGGAAACCAAAGGTATAAACAAAATTGGCTCTGCCACCTGGCTGAAAAACTGCTCTCCTATCTCACCGTGCCTGGAGTGGTGTTTTCTTTCTGCCAGTGACACATCCTGTTCCATCATCTATTTCCAAGGATTTGTATCTCACCACCTTATTTTTTCCTAAACCCTCTTGGTACTACAAAACTGAGAGAGGTGTCTGATCAGCCTCCGGAGGCCGCTTGGCAGAGATGAGGGGCCGTGCGTGCACCAAAGGTGCCCAGCCCAGCTTCAAAGAGGGACAGCATCCGTCATCACAGGAGGCACAGCACCTGCAGGTCTTGATGTGGGGTCTGGACCTTTGGGTAGACCAGCAGTCCGCATCCAGGATGCACACCTGGAGGAGAGGGTCTTTGCAGCTGAGACCAGGGCGGGGGCGGGGGGGGTCATGTCCACTGGACTGAATGCTCAGCTGTGTGTGGTGTGTAACTCACACTCCGCTCTCCAGAACTTCCTCACTGAACAAGCCTTCCTGCCTGGAATAAAAGGAAACTTGTGTCCAGAGGTCAAGCCTAGATGCCTCCAGGTGTGCACACACACCTATCTGTGAGGGGAGACACCTCCATCCTCTGTGCTCCCCATAGACAGTGCATCATTCACCCTTGGGCACGGAGCCAGCCACCTTCTCTGGAGGACTCCCGAAGAGCCTCTCAGAACAGTTGTGTGGACGCTCAAGACAAGTGCATGGGTCACACAGTGAGAAGGGGCACTGTGTGTCCTCTACGACCACACAAGTGAGGATGAGTGTAGACGGAAGCACAAGGTGTGTAGTGTTTCTCTTTCCAACCACAGCTGATCAGTGTGAAAACCAAATGTAGGGGCTCTTCGCTATGAAAAGCCAGCCAGCCGGCTCACCTCTGACTTCTAGGAGGTCACAGCCAGCCTGCCAACCAGAAGCTGAGAGCAAAGCAATTTGCCAGTCCTGTACTTTTTTTTTTTAACTGGGGATGGAATCCAGGGCCTTTGCACTGAGCTACATCTTCAACCCTTTTTAATTTTTATTTTGAGGCAGGGTCTTGCTAAGTCATGAGTTGTCCAGGCTGGGCTCCAATTTGCAATTCTCCCCCTCAGTCTCCCAGAGTGCTAGATTCCAGGCCTCCACCACCACAACTGGTACCGGTTATATTCTTCTTGAAGTCTCGAAATGGAAATGTTCATGGTTTCCTTAAAGCCACCCTGGTTCCTGTAGGGATGACAATGTGAATGTTCTCCGTGTACCAGTTGACATCACCGTGAACACAGAACCTGTTTGGTCTCAGAGCCTGTCTCAGGCCCTCGGCGACACGTCCACGTGGGGAAGGAGTGGTACACACACTTCTCACGAGAAGAGGGTGACACAGGGCTGTTTACCTCCCAGAAAAGGAACTTTCATTCTCTTCAGTTAGCTGTTGAGACAGAATTCAAAACAATTCTACAACTCCAGACCAGATGGTAAATATACCCATTCTGGCTGGTGAAGCCAGGAAGAGACCAAATAAGAGCCCCTTTCAAGATTGTGATTCAGGAACAAACAATACGCACATTTCCACTCCTGAGAGGAAGGACAGGCACATGCCCGAGATCTGCATATCCTCCAGGGTGTGGGGGACAGTGTCTTTCAGACATTTTGAATATGACACCATCTCCTCTGACACAGCCGTGCAGCTCTTTATTTCCTTTTTCTGCTGACAAAATTTAGCCCATCTTTGGGCAGAGGTAGAGGACAAGGAAAATGCACCACACACAATGGCTGATTCCCTAGAGCCTCCCACCCTCCCATCTCCCTCACCAGCCCCCCCATCAACCCCCCCCCCGGGAACATAAAGGCTTTGCGGGTGCCCCGCTCACGGGGATAAACAGTATGCTCACTCTCTTTCCTTCTGTTGACAGCGACGGCGCCGGCAGGAGCGGAACCTACATCCTGATCGACATGGTTCTCAATAAGATGGCCAAAGGTGAGAGCGCACGTCTGGCTGCTTTGTTGTGGCTCAGAGATGGGAGGTGTTGCCACAGCAACGTGGGGCATAATACTCACTGGAGGCCTTGGAGAAAATCAGCTGTTTGTTGTTCCTTTCCTGAATCATTTGAATGCTATTTACCTCCAGCACATTTATGTTTGCAGTCGGGCCTTTGTTATCAGCCTGCATGTGCTGGACACATAGTAGGGCTTTGATAAGAATCCACCACATTCACTCTGAGATTCTGTCAGAGCCAGGGAGAGCATAGCTTGAATCTTAAAAGACTGCAGCAGGCTCAGACATCCCTACTGTTTGAACAGGTCTCTGCTGCTGTTAAAGTTGTGTTTGCAGAAAAGTCTCCGGTGGCCATGTCATCCAACATAAATTCCCTTGTCTCAAAGGAATGTCCCGAACTGGAGTCCTGGGGATGGAACCCAGGGCTTTGTTCATGCTAGTCAAGCCCTCTACCACTAAGTTGTGCCCCCAGACCCCAAATTCCCTCTCCCAGAGTTGGTGCAGTGTCCAAACAGTAAAGCGCTGGCCATCAGGGACTGTTAGAGAGCACAGGGCCCAGTGCCCCACAAGGAAGCAAGGGGCAGAGCTGTCCTGGCTTCTCCGAGAAGGTGGGACAGGGTACCCAGAGCTTTAGGTGGCCTCTGGAGCAGAGGCTCCAGGGACCCTCTTTTGGGGTCGCAGGCACTGAGTCGCAGTGAGTGTGTCCTAGCTTTCCACACCCCACACCCTGTGCCCAGGCCTTCTGAGAGCACTGCTTTTCCTGTGGCACCTGGTGTAATCTAGGACCCTGGGAAACACAGAGCTGGGTGGGGCTTTGCACTCTCCCCAGGCTCTGAGCATGCATGGGCCATGGAGAAGTCACCCCTCCGCACAGGGTACCTCCCCTCCACAGGCCTGGGGTGTGAACCTGGGTCTCCACACACGACACACAAATGCCAGGCTAAGCATCTTTCTTGCTCCATTTTCTTCTGGCAAAAACAAAGCCAGAGCTCTTCTTTAGCTGCGGGGACAGATGTGTGGAGAGGGAACAGAGGCCAGTGACTCACACAGTCCTGTGGCCAGGCTCAGTCACCTGAAGTTCCTGGTGGCTGGTGCCAGACCACACCAATCTCCTCTTCCTCTGCCCCTGCCAGGGACTCATGAAGCTGGTCTCTGTGCCACCGAAATTAGCTGAGTGTTGGGGATGTGCACAGGCTGAGCTGGGACAAAACACAAGTGCTCTGTTATCGCTGTTAATGCTACCTTTTGGTTTGAAAACATAACACAATCCCAAATTTTATTTCAAAGTCATTTTGTCTTTGTTAATGCTCCTGTCTTCTCCTTAAACACCCTTTCTTTTGCAAATTGGAGCTCAGAGCTATTGACAGAGTTTATAATTCTTCCCTTATTACCCACCCTCCCTCTCTCCCAAACATATTTTCCTTCTATTGCTCAAAATACCTCCAGAGTAAGGCCGGCCGTTTCACCTACGTGTTGTCTATTGTGGCGGGTCATACACAACATTCATAGCGTACTGCAAAGGGACACTTGCTCCTGCACAAGGAAGGGTGCTGAGTGGGTGCTGGCACTGATGTGGTCTGCATAGAGGCCCTCGGTGACTGCAGGTGGAATTCAGGGGGCACAGGTTCCCTCCCGCAGGAGCACGGAGAGCTGCTCTCTGCCGCCCCAGAGGGCTGGCTATTGTCCGGTGCTGCTGGCTCACCGTACTCTGCAACTATGCAGCATCAGATTGCATTCGAAGTGTGGGCTTGGTGTCCTGCAGTGCAAGCCCAGCCGTGTGGAACAGTCCCAGGGACGGCTGTGGCTTTCTCTGAGACTACTCACCCTCTCTCTGCTCCTGACCTGCTCCCCTTCCTGGTGTGAAATCCCCTGACCCACCCCGTGGTCTCGGGAGAGATCAAAGGGCGGGTGGCCTTTCCCAGGCTGCCCTCAGAGGCCACTGGGGTTTTGTCCCGTGCTGCTGGCCAGACCGTCTTTGTCTGGCCTGAGAAGCTGGAGGCCCACATTGCAGCCCAGCGTTCATCAAATGATCAAAGGCCCAAAGCCCTGGACACGAAGCCTTTCTTCCCGTTTCCCTTTCTTGAAAGGAATGAATTGTGCAAGCTCCCAAAGAATGCTTTGCAACGCGCTCCTGTGTGCCCGCCTTCGTCCGTGGCTCAGTGGGCTGGGCACGTCCAGGGCCCAGCTGCATGGCGTCGGGCAGGGCTCACTCAGCCTTTCAGGGATTAAGGCAGGGCTGATCATGAGGCCTGAAGAACAAGCACAGAATCATTTCAGTGCTCTCTCCACTGTGGAGTTTATTAGCAAGCAGACAAAGACGCACTTGGAAATCAAAGCAGAAGGCTTGCCCTCTGCACAAGGTAGTAGAAAGTGGGGCCTGCGAGTGTCACTGCTATTGGGACAAACGGGGTCCCGGCAGCTCATCCCCCTCGCTGGGAGGCTCAGCTCACACCCCGCAGAAGCTGATTCCAGCCCAGCTGCCCTCCACTCGCACTTGCCCATTTCCAGCCATCCTGCACCTCCAAGCCCACAGGTTCCCTGTCTCCTCACGATTCCTTAGCTAGACAATGGCCAGGACCCAGCAGAGTGAGGAGGCAGGCAGCACAGCTGGGGTGGTGTGGAACTCGGGGCCCGGCCACATTCCTGCCAGGTAGACATGGAGCTCCACTCCGGTGGGCGTGGCTCAGCCTCCCTGCACTGCTGTCATACAGAGCACCCAGAGCACGAGTTCAGGCAGCCCTGCCGGGCCACAGGTAGGGGTTTCACCGTCCAGCACACATCTAGCCAGGTCCCTGTGCCGGGAGATGCAGCACTCTCCTGGGCCGTCTGACTGCATGCATGTGAGCAGACAATGAGAACCTGTGACCCTGGCAGCATCCTCAGCATCCTGGTCCATCTCACTGCTTTCCTCTGCACTGGGGAAGGGGCAGGGACCTGCTATCTCATTTCTTCTGACTGGCAACTTGCAATGCCTCCCACAAGTGGAGCCAAGTCCTTTAGTCCCACAGCTCACCACGTGGCTCAGAATTCTTCCTTTTCGGGACTGAATAATGTTCCCCCGCTTGGTGGAGCATGATATGGACGGACATGGGTGGTGTTTCCACCCTTTGGCTATAGGGACTGGTGACACTACAAACATGGGTTTCTAGCACCTGCTCAAATCTCAGTGTTGAGTTCTTGGGGTATATTCCTAAGAACAGAACTGCTGGATCAAGGAGCAAGTCTGTGCTTAACTCATCCTCACCACAGGGCACAGGAGTCCTTGTTTCTCCCTGTCACAGCTGGCATTGGTCTTTTCAATGCTGTCATCCAGGGAGTGCTAGGCAGTGTCATGTGTGGCTTTGGTCTGCATCTCCCCATGATGCTGACCATCTTCCTGTGCACTTGTGGCTGTTTGCCCAGCTGCCACGGACCTGTGTCAGCTCAGCCCCGCCCTCTGCATGGGCAGTGGCCTTGCTACAGGGCTCCCTGTGCCCACAAGTGGCCCCTCAGCAGGCATGATCTCCAACGTGGCCTCTGTGGCATGAAAATACTGGGCAGCATCCAGGTTGCCATCTAAAGACTCCTAGAAACTCCTCTTTCACTGCCTGTGCTGTCGCGGCTGCATCCAAAGTCTTGAAGCTCCACTCCCTCACGAGAGGCGTTGGCTTCTAATTGAGCGGCTGAGTGGGGCATGGGAGGCAGCTGGAAGGGAGCCAGGGTTGCAGACATAGCAAGGCCAGCCACCCTTGTGCACAGGCATGCCTAGGCATGCCCAGTATGGGGTGGAGGTTGGAGGATCTTCCTCAGTGACAATTCTGGCTCCTTGAACTCTTAAGACCAACACCCCTCAGAACTGGGTTGTTCAATACATGGCCACCCAGGGCTACTTTAATTAAAATTGAATAAAATCAAAACAGGCCTGACCTCAAGGGCACTGGGGACACCCGCCATGGTGGGCAGTGCAGCAACAGAGCTGCCCATCAGGACAGAGGGTCCTCTGCAGTGAGCTGGGGCCGCACCTCCTGCTGCAGGGTGACAGCCTCTGACCTGTACCCACCCCTCTCATCCTCCTCACGTGGCATCTCCAGGACCCTGGGCTGGTTGCCATGGTCACTGACTCACTCTTGGCCACACTCCCCTGGCAGGGCCACGAAACGCAGGACCTTTGCACCTGTTACCTGCGGCCTGGGTGGTGCACCTGGGCCTCTCCCCTTGTTCTCTTGTGGAGTCTGCTGCTCATGGGCACCGTCTGGTCACTATTCCTTCAGAAACATGGACTCAAACCATGCAGGTGCCACTCGGGGCCACAGGGACAGCCATAGCCTCACATAGCCAGCCCAGCGGCTCAGCACCCACTGCTGGCCAGCACGGCTCCAGGACACCTCGGTGAGAGGCAGGAAGGGCCTGGTCGCTGGAGCCTGTGCCTGCCAATGGCCTGTAGGCCAGTGGAGGCCTTGGTGGGAGCGCCTGCCACCAGCTCTCACTGGCTCCACAGGACCCACTTGCTCAGCAGAGGGACAAGTGGCCCTGGGCCCCCTCCCTGGAGGAGCTGTCCTGGCAGTGCCAAGGGCGCCTCCCATCTGAGTGTTCTCCACATATTCCCCCTCTGAGTGTCCGGTGCCCAGTAGTGGTGATGGGCACATGGGTGTGCAGAGCCGGATGTGTCCCCAGGCCAGATGGCAGTGGGCCCTGCACAAGGGACAGATGTGGCTCTGAGAGCAGGTGCACTGCGAGACATGCCAGGTAGTAGACATGCAAATGGTCATGGGTTGGGCCCTGGGACCCGGTGACACCTCAGTCTTTGGAAACCACAGTGAACACAAGCCCTCTGGGGTTTCTGTGGCCTCCACTGCACCCACAACCACCACGGTCACCATGTAGGTGACCCCAACCCCCGAGCAACAGAAGCAGCAGGAGCAGCTAACCCTGGCTCTGCACCTCCTCTCCTGGTCCCCAGCCACCCTTGGCACCCAGAGATTGAGCCATAAGAGAGCAGAGCC